CCGATATCTATTAACAACATATTTTTCTTTCAAACATCAAGCTCAATGTCTACACACTTTAACAGACGAAAATCCCGATGTCCACGTTCACTTCCAGCAGAATCCACAATATATACAATCGTTATTGAACATCATCAAGCTTGATGAAAATGGCACCTCGTCAAATGAACATTCGTTGTTTATCGAAGTCCTATGCTGTGGTATTACAAACATGTATACTTGCTAAATCGTTTCAACCTCAGATGAATTTGCGTTTGAAGAAAGCATTTTGCAATTTACAGGAATCCTATCGAATATTTGTTCCGTTGTCGACCTTTCTATATCAAAATCGGAGTCCACTTTGGATTTAAACAATTATTTGATGCCTGTGCTAATCTCTTGCTTGACTCTCGATATTAATAAAACTGCAAACGAAGCTGTTGAGAATGTTTCAGAGATTGTAAACATTTTTTGTCGTATATTTGATGACCACAATGCTTTTCTGAACTTTATTAATCAAATTATATATATATATATATTTGGATTAGGAAAATGCACAATGCTCAGAAACCATAAAAGAACGTCCAAAATATACAATACCAACGGCAGAAGTAATTGGCCACTATAATATTTTATAATCGATCTTACGTATTAATTCAATTTTTTAATCATAAATTTGTTAATAGAATAATTTAAGCAGTATCAATGTGCGACTAATGACTTTACAACTTGCGCTCGAAATTTTGTCCAAAATTTTTTTGGATTGTTTTTCTAACGGTAAAAGTTTGTAATTACAAAGTTATTTACACATTCTTAACTTGATTATTAAAATTATTTATATTATTATAATAAAGACGGTGATGATGATGGATGGCAAGATGAGTCTCAAGATGACGATATGATGTTCGCTAATGTTAAAGAAGATATCAAAGAAGATATGATGTTCGCTAATGTTAAAGAAGAAGTTATCAAAGAAGATATCAGCACAATGGAAGATATCACTATGATGGACGCGAATCAGCCTGACAAACAATCAAAAATTTATCCGATATTAAACACTTATGCTACTATTATTCTACCCAATCTTTTTAATTTAGCCTGCCCAACACATTTATCATTTCCAGAACAACTTGGTCCTAACGTGTTTCCAATGCCCTCAGTTGCCCCAGAGATCACTTCATCGCTTGCAACGGTGCATTTAAGAGCTATAGAATGCATTAACAATTTCCTTTTGATAATGGTAGATAATGTTGAAGATAAATGGTGGTTTACGCAGCATCGAGAGGATGCTAAACAAGCATGGGCATTTCTGTTTGAATTGGGTGGTCAAGTTACCGGAAAAGGAATAGGTGAACCAGGACAAGAAAATAGAGCCAAAATTCTGGATGCATTAATAGGATGCCTTTGGACTTTGACCCGAGGGTTAGAAGGCAATGTGGTATGCATTTAGGGTTTAATAATTTTTATTCATAATAAACATAATAAACATAATAAACAAGTTTTTTTTTTTTCTCCTGCAGCCTGTTACTGGTGACCAAATTCACAGTTTGATTGGTTGCTATGAGTTAGGTGTATATAATACAATGCGTGTAAAGATAATTGGTACATTAGGTGTGATTGCAAGGCGACAAAATGCTATAAATGATAATAAGGTTTGATTTAATTGTTTATTGTAATGGTTATTTTCTCTGAGCATTTAAGATAATATCTCTGAAATTTAATAGCTGATAGGAACGTTCCTGCTAAATATTCTAAGCTCCTTAAAAAATGATTTAGCGTCTCCGGAATGTGTAATCGAAGTTCTTAACGCTATATATGACATATATGCAGACAAAGATTTTGATTATGATGAACCAGTTTTTGTTCAAGGCGGCTATCTACCTTTGCTCGAAAGTATGGTTGATACAGTACGCAAAGTGGTAAGTGTAAAGTCAAAATAAACCTAAACAAAATTAGTCAATTACTGATTCCTATATAATCTCGCAGACGAAATCTATTGATAAGAGAACGTCACGTGATTTACGTCTTCGTGCGGATGAAGCTTACGAAAACCTTATTACGTTTGTAAAGTATAAAAAAGATGAACGACATAACTAGACAAATATAGATTGCAAAAAAATGGCCTGATTAAAGGCTAAATTATTTCTTGATTAAATAAATATTTTTATTACATAAGTACTTTTTAAAAAAATCTTATTTTGTGCGACGTATCTAATAACTACGTGTCTACTGATTTTCATACCCGTGTCATCGCGAAATAACGCCCTGGGCGCCATTTATGAGGCACAAATTTCCAGAGCCAAGAATTAATTTTGAAGAATATAAGTAATAATTTTACTCTTACAAATCATCTAAATTAATTCTTAGTTCCCAGGAAATTGTCTCGAAATAACATCAAAGGCGTTATTTCGCGCAAATACAAATATTAATTAAAAATATATGCTGTGCTTCAAAATGGTTCAAATAAATATTAACCTGTACGTACGTACGTACAAGGAATTGGAAAATCTGCCTAATGCAGTTATGATCAACTCTATATCAACTATGTATTGGTTTTTTTTTAGTATATAGTGTAATATTAATGGATTGGATTTAGGCCTTTGTACTACCAGTAGTACACTTTATAAAACTTATACAGAACCGAAAATATAATCAATTAAAACAATTTTAACATAATATATTCATTTA